TACTCCGCCTACCTAAGGGTTGGCCTATCAAATGGGTCTAGGCAGTTTCTTTATTAATAAGAAATCACTCCCACATCATTTCCCCTTTTTCTGTTTAAACAAAAAAGAAAGGCTTTAACTTTAACATAGTAAAATTACATATAGCAAAACAGTTATCAAGCAAGAATTACAGTTATAATATTTATATCTATTTTATCTTTTATCATAACTAAGGAAAACAATACCTATCTATTCATTCTTCAACTCCATCAAAGACTCCAGAAGGATATAATACTACCTAAGTAAACAAGAAATAAGAAAACTCTAGAAATGACAGAGACATCTTGCTGCCTGGACAGTCACCCAAAGTTCTTTTGTATGGTTGGGGCATCCATCTTCAGCCTTCAGGCCCATAGTATCCAGCAGACATTTCCATGAAGCAGGAAATTTCAAAGACAGTTCAGTCACTATCTGCTGTGTCCTGCAGAATGTCTCGCAGACTCTTTCATGAGTCATGAACCCCAAAAGACCGTCTCACCTTTAGGCAAGTTCAGCAGTCCTCTCTCTGCGGGTTCTCTGTGTCCATTTTATGCAACAGTCCAGGCAAGAGCAGTTTCTTGCCCAAATGGCTATCCAACTCCATAAGGATCCTCTTCGATGCCCATCTTCCTCTCGAAGTAGATTGGTGCCACCAGGAGCAGATATGTCTCATTGTCATGAAAAGTCCTAAGTTATTAAAACATTAAATGCCATATTCTGCAGTCTTTGAAAGATATGAAGAATGTCTATCTAACTGAAATGTATCTCTATATATCTAGAAAATCTAACTAACATGACTACAAGATTGACTATTATTGATGATTAACCATTAACCTATATTTCTTAATTATACATTACATTTTTAAATGAACTACACAATCACAATACCTTAATCAAGATCAGAAATACATATACATATAACAAAATTGACTGTAAAATCCACACCAATGCAAATTACTCATACCTATATCATTTCCCCCTTTAAATGTAAAAGAACATTTACAAACAATATTTTGGGAACATGGGCGCAGTTTTTTCTCTCCAAACTGCTTCCTGCTGAATGGGGGCGCTGTTAATCAGATCATTTAGGGTGTAACCTGTGTGTCAGGTTTATCTCAGTTGCCAGTTGAGTAAAGTAATTTTTTGATGGTGTTCACAGGAACTTTTCAGGAGGTCGTGGTCTATCATACCATATCGGGATAGATGCAATCCACAGGGTCTGGTCCTCTGTGAAAACAAAAGAAGACCCTTTCCAAAGCATCATATCCTTAGGCCCAAATTCTGAAGTCATACCCTCATGATATCCGTTTTGGTTCCACTTGGCAGCCCATAGAATGAAATGTCTCTCTGTACTTAGCTCATTCACAGTCAAAAATTTTAAAGAAAACACAATGTACATAATCCAGACTCTCTGTGAATTTTCCATTTTTACGTGGCTTATTTTTGTTTATTTCTTTTAATCTCTTAACTATCTGTACTCTGTCTCTTTAAAGACTTTACCTTTTTTTTTTAAGACATTTGCTTTATTCTCTATATTCTTATTCTTCTCTCTCTCAAGCCTATGTACATTCATCCAACGCTGTGATCCACTGAGGTCTGTTATGTCTGAATCTGTTTTATTGTGAATCTGTAATATTTTTACTATCCAGGAGCATTTCTTAAAATGTTAAGCACTTCTTAAAAACTTAAGTTGCACCATGTACAGGTAATACGGTACCACCTGTGTCCTGCCCAGTCTAAACCTTAACTGTGCTGTTATTATGGTAATTACGGTAGTTCCTGTCAACCAGCACAGTTCAGCAAGGAGCAGCCGCTCCTGCCTCAGATCCATTTGGTGCCCCTGAGCTGTGCACAGTTCCAGGCACACAGCAAGTCCTCATTGGAGCGGCACTCAGTAGTTTAATTTTGAGACTGAGCATGCAGCACAGAAACTCTTTTTATCCAAGTTACAACCAAATCTGACACGCAGAGTACTGCGCAGTCTGAAAACACGTCTCTTTTACCATGCTCTTCCGCCTGCCTAAGCCTGATTCTGCCATCTGCCCAGGTGCAGGCGGGGAGCACTGAGAGCACTCTCCTTCCGATCCCAAGCGGGAACACAAACATCCAGTCCCATAAAATCCATTGAAATGTTTTAAAGCCAGAGTTTGCATTGGCGGCACAGTCCCAAGAAGCCGCAATTTAAAATGATGCAGCTTTTTTTTCTGTTGCTGTTGCCGAATCAGGAAATCTCTCTACAGCACGCCACCAACAAACAGCAAAAATCTGTGTTAAAGTCTCTCTCCCTTATTTTTAAGCCTTCTCAGGTTTTTAAGTGGATTTAGTCCATCACGTCGGGCGCCATTCTGTTGAAATACGGAGCGGCGGGCTGTGTCCCGCCACCCAGCTAGCTTTACCCGAAATAATTACACGGAAACTGTATTCTTTTAAACACTGCCTGACCCATTAGTTTCAGTTTCTTATTGGCTAGCTTTTACATATTAATCTAACCCATTTCTATTAATCTGTGTAGTCCACGAGCTGGCTTACCAGGAATGATCTTAACCTGCGTCTGTCTGGAGTGGGAGAATCATGGCGACTCCCTGACTCAGCTTCTTTCTCCCAGCATTCCGTTCTGTTTACTCCGCCTACCTAAGGGTTGGCCTATCAAATGGGTCTAGGCAGTTTCTTTATTAATAAGAAATCACTCCCACATCAGAGTAAGGCGCTGGTCTATAAGTTAAGTATAGGAGTCATTTTACTGCTACTATTTTTTTTATTATTATTATTTAGAATACTAGGATTTGGTTTTACCCTAGGTCCCTAGGCCATGTGGCCTCTAGTTCTTGGCCACCCAAGCAGCACTGGGCTCCATCTCATGGAGCAGCCCTAAGTCAAATCAGACATTGGTTGGTTACTCCTACAAGCTTTGTGCCACCATTGCCATGCGTATCTGGCAGCCAGGACATCACTGCAGACCAAAGGTTTTGTGCCAGAGCTGGTGTTTACATTTCTCTCTCAGCAGCCTGCAGAATGCATTCCCTCACCAAAGAGACGAGAAAATGGGGTGAAGGCTCTATGTAGGTACCTGCTCGACTTCTCCAGGTTCAACGAGTTGTCTAGGCGTTGTCTTCAGCAGTAGGACCTCTCTGCCAGTTTGTGGAGAACAGCCTATAGTTTTGGCTACAGCCTGGCTTGTTTGGAGATTCCAGTGAGAGCCCCTTGGCCAACAATTCAATTAGATGTGATTTAATCTGTATTGGAAGCTTAATTTGGTTACAAGAGATGGCTAGTTGGGGCTCTGTCTTCCCCATTATTTGGTGATTTCATTTGGATCACCTTCATATGTGTATATATTTTAGGAAGTTTCTACTCTATTAGGTTTCCGTACCACCCCTCAAATGGCCCTTGTGGTGGTTTGAATGGAATTGGCCCCCATAAACTCACGGGGAGTGGCACTCTTAGGAGGTGTGTTTTTGTTGACGTATGTGTGGCCTTGTTGGAGAAAGTGTGACATCGTGAGGTGGGGTTTGAGGTCTCATATATGCTCAAGTCATGCCCAGTGTCTCAAACCACTTCCTGTGACCTGTAGGTCAAGATGTAAGAACTCTCCTTCAGCACTGCGTCTGCCTGCATGCTGCCTTGCTTCCTGCCATGACGATAATGGACTAAACCTCTGAACCTTAAGCAAGTCATTCCAATGAAATGTTTTTCTTTGGGGCTGGAAAAGTTAGCTCAAGGGTTAAGAGCACTGGCTGTTCTTCCAGGGTGTTATGATTTTTGCCTGCGGGTCCTGAGGGGCGGGGGCAGCGAGTCCGAGAGCTGCCAGGCCCATGCAGGGCCCAGCCATGCTGCAGGCTGTCCCGCAGACAGTGAGTCCCTGGAAAGTGCAAGTTCCCGGCAAAGGAAGGGCGAATGGTGCAGTGGCATGTGGGAGGCACATGGACAGACACATCATACAGAATAGAACTGGAATTATGGAATAGGAAGGAAAGAGGGGAGAAGGGAGGGAAGAGAGGAGAGAGAGAAAGGGATGAGAGAGAGAGAGAGAGAGAGAAGGGGGGAGCGGGAAAGGGAACCGAGAGAGAGTCAAGATGGCGATGGAGGGAGGAGCTGCAGGGAGTGAGCGTGGCTTGTCTCTTAACACAGGGGATCTGGGTTCAATTCCCAGCACCCACATGGTAGCTCTGTTTGTAATTCCAGTCCTAGGGGACCTGACACCCTACACAAATATATAAACAGGCAAAACACCAGTGCACATAAAAAATAAAATAAATTAAAAAAATGTTTTTCTTTGTAACAGTTGCCATGGTCATGGCATCTCTTCACAGCAATAGAAACCCTAACCAAGACAGCCCTTAATTCTAGTTATCTCTCTTGGGTTTTTCTCACCAACAAGCCTTTCCGCCAATGCAAATAATCCCAATCAGACCAAATTAAAAGATATTCAGGTTTAATTGGACATCTGCGCTCTCGGGGAGACTTGGGGAAAACACATGGGCGGAAGTGGAAAGTCAACACCACATGATCACCTGAGAGGAAGAGGGGAGACCACGTGTTTATTCTCTGGGGGGCAGTTTAAGTAGCCTGTGGGAGTGGTCTTGACCTTCTTTGGGGAGGGGTCACCGTATGGTGGGCTTCCTTGACCCTCCCTGGGGAGGTGAAGTTTGGACTGAGGCAACTCTCAGGGGAGGGGGCCTAAAATGGAGTTTTGTGCCCAGTATTCCAAAGATGGATGCCAGGGGCTGGGATGAGGCTCCCAATTTAATAATCTCTCCCTGCATTCTCTCCCTCATGCCCCCTACCCTCCTGACTTGACTCTCACCCCAACCCACCTCATTCATACATAACTGATGGAGGAAAGTCATTGGTTAATTAATAAAGAAACTGCTTGGCCCTGATAGGTTAGAACACAGGTGGGTGGAGTAAATAGAACAGAATGCTAGAAGGAAGAGGAAGTGAGGTAAGACGCCTCAGACAGATGCCATGCCACTCCCCTCCAGGGCAGATGCACAGACATGATGAAGCTCCGACCCAAGAAGGACGTAGGCTAGAATCTCCCTGGTAAGTCACCACCTCGTGGTGCTATACACATTAATAGAAATGGGCCAGGCAGTGTTTATATGAATACAGTTTGTGTGTTGTTATTTCGGGGCATAAGCTAGCCAGGCGGCTGGGAGCCGGGTGGCAGGAACACAGCCTGCAGTTCCTTCTACACATAACTATCCCATTTCCCTTTCCTAACAAGATCTGTACTCCTATACCTTATGCCCAACCTTTAACCTCATGGATTGTAGCTTGTTTTTCATTGACTTAACTGCTAATATCCACATGGAAGCAAATACATTATTTGTCTTTCTGGGTCTGGGACAGCTCACTCAGAATGATATTTTCTAATTCCGTTCATTTGCTTGCAAATTGTAGATCTGTGGGAGAGGAGCAAAGGCATCTGGGAAAGTCCAGAGTGGCCATGTCCAGCCTGAGCTGGGTCATGTGGGGGAGGGGGACGGGGAAGGGAGAGGAGAGAAAGCCAAACCAGGTGCAGCAGCCAAGAGGACAAAGGTAAACAGGGTGGCTAACCCAAATGGCTGGGTTATGTAAGGGGAGCCTCTAGGGATGGGCAACCCAAGCTGGGCTGGAGAGTTCAGGGTAGAGGGTGGGATCTGCCAACCATACCCTGTAACAAGTAGGGACTGAGGAATGCTGGGAGAACCTGGAGGCCAGGTCTGCTTTGATACATTTAATAGCTACCTCAGCTGTGTGTCCTGGATTTGAAGTTTAACTCTTCTTCCCCAGTGCTGGTATTAAAGGAGTTCACCACCAGGTACCTGGCCTGTACCTCATTTTTAGGTCAGTTATTTGTTTTCTTGATATCTAGTTTCTTGGTTATTTATATATTTGGAATATTAGCCCTCCATTGGACATAGGTTGCCACTTTTCCCAATGACAGTGTCTTTCCTTCCTTTTTTTTTTTTTTGACAGAGTTCCCTCTGTAGACCAGGGTGGTCTTGAACTCAGAGATCCATATGCCTCTGTCTCTTGAATGCTGGGATTAAAGGCATGTGCCACCATCACCTGGTAAACCTAGACTTCCAATTAATTTAATTACTAAACTTTCTTAACCCTACAAGATTATTTGAATTCCCTAATTCTGCTTATAGCAGAGGTTCCTGCCCTTGGTACTGCTAATGTTTGGTTTGGGACATTATTTATCGTGGTGCCTATTCTATGTACTGTAGGAGTTTTGCTTGTTTGAGAATGTCATATAATCATATAATGTGTCTTAATCAAATCTACCCCCATTCTCTCCTCCAATTCCTTCTCTAGCACCCCCAGTCCACCCCCCACTTTCCCTTTCCAATTTCACATGCTCCCTTTTTGTAATATTCACCGAGTCCACTTAGTGTTGCCTGGTGCACCAGCCTCCACAGACATTACCCTCCTCCCCATCCTAGCTGAAGTGGCTGTTGCCTCTCTTCAGCAAGACTCACAGCCTTTGTAAATTCTCCTGTCAATCTAAAAGCCACGGTGGTGTTTTTTTAAATGAAAACTGGAGAGAAAAAGGAGCCTTTTGTTTACATTGAGCCTACACTGACTATAGACCAGAGGGGTGGGGCTGACACAAGGTGGAGAAAGCTTTGGGCAAGAAAGGGGCCACGGAGAGAAGTCACCACTGTTTCCAGATTGCTTGGGGTTTGTGGCAGGGTGTGGTGGCACCCAGGAGAGCTGATGGGATTTGAGTTAAAGTTTTTGTTTGAACTGTATTTTAAAATATGAACTGGCCTTCTGTACTTTATAGTTCATTAACTGATCAACCTATGCATCTTCCTTCCTTTCCACCCCCGGCCCATTGTGGTTATATGTCTAAGAATTTTTCGAGTTGTGTAAATATGGCCGAGTTCTTTTCTGTTGCCTGGCCTTCAGAGACACTGCTGTTGACTAGCTTTGCAGTTTGAAACCACCTGTTATGTCTCTGCGCCCGTGTTTCTCTTAGAAAATTTAGATTGAAAATAAAAGCCAGGCCATGCAGTGGTGGGTCACACCTTTAATTCCAGCACTTGGGAGGCAGGCAGATCTCAGAGTTTAAGATCAGTCTGGTCTACAAATGAAGTTCTAGGACAGCCAGGGCTATAGAGAAACCCTGTCTTGAAACAAGAAAGAAAGAAAGAAAGAAAGAAAGAAAGAAAGAAAGAAAGAAAGAAAGGAAGAATTTCATATTTGCAAAGCATGGCCCGCTGTCCTTAGGCTAATTTGTCCTTAGGCTAGGTTCCGTGCTAAACCCCTTGCTCCTGGTGAGATACACAGTAGGACTCATACACCAAAGCAAGCCCCCAAAACCCTTTGACTGGTCTGGTACTAGCAGGCCAAAACCAGCGAAAGGAGCTTTGGCCCTCAGCACCCCCAAACCACTTCCTTTAGTGCTTACTTCCTGCTAATAGCCTTCCTCCCTCCCTCTCACCCCAGAAATCAGTGCAGGGAGGGAGGGAGCAGCTGGTTCCTGTCTGGGGCTCTTGCACTCATCATCCTGGATCCCCAGCCTGGCCAAGGCTGCTGAAATGTCTGGATTCTGCAGAGCTGTCAGCTCAGCCTCGGGGGCAGGGAAAGAATTCGCTGTCAGCACTTACCCTGTCCCATGCGACAGACCAGGCCAAAGGCTTCTTTGAACAGTGCAATCCCAGGAACTGGGGAGACACAAAGAAACAAAGGGGGGGCGGCTTTTCCAGGAGGGCTGCTGGCTTAGGCGGAAGGTGGGCCTAAGTTTACAGCTTTTGTTGTGGGAGAGGGAAGTTCCCCGTCCCAGGCTGCCCCTTTTCAGAATCTCAGTGAAAGGCTCCTTTGTCCTTCTTTGCTCCTTGTGCTGAGGGCCAGGTGCAGACTCTTGTTCCCAAGGGCATTAGGACTTCGCTGCCTTCTATGTGGTGCTGAGCCTTGCTGCCTGCCGGTTGTGGCAGCAAACCCCAAACCACGGAGCAGATCAAAGGGAAAGAGGGACAGGCAGGTGAAGAGCCAGAGGACCAAGCCTGGAGTTTGAGGGAGCTGAGGTTCGAGCCAGACAGGACCTCAGCTGTGAGGACGATGTGGGCTCCCTGTCTCCGCGCCAGCAGCCCTTTCCCAGGCGAACCCTGAGCACCAAGACAACCAGGGGTTCCGAATCCTCCCATTTTTAACCCTCCAGGTGTGACCATTTCGTAGTCTGTATAACAAAGCACACAGTGTCCTTCTAGGTGATGAAACGAGGGCTCAGGCTGGATTAGAACCATCTCTGGCTTCGAATCCTCGAGTCCAGGATGGAACCATGCCTGCTAGGCTGCTTCTGAGGCAAGCTATGAGCATTAGGCATCTTTTGTATATGGACTGGCTTCTGTTACACATGTGTAATGAAATACTGGAAGCCTTTTCTGGGCACAGAAATGTAACCTCGGTTCAGGCCTAAGATTTGTCTTCGGGCGCCTTTGCCTGTGTGCTCCACTCGGCTCTCAGAACAAACATCTCGGTGGAGATCTCCACCTTCTCCCGCAAGCTTCTTTTTCGTGCCTACCTCCCTTGGTGAACAGCAATGTCCTCCGTATAACTCAGGCATTATTGAGTCAGTCAGATTCCCTAGTAGGTAGTGTAATGATTTCAGCCACATGAGGCTGACAATTCCAGGTTCTAGGGGTCATGAAGGTGCAGATAAGCCCTCAGGCAGAAGTACCTAATGGCCCCGCATGACCCACATGCCGTGGATTACATCATCCACGTATGACTCAGCTAAGCCCTTGCGCAGGCATGATCCCCGTCATCTGTGTATGACAGAGGGTCTACCCCGTGCGCATGCGCTAGGCCACTTTTAAAAGCTGAACACGCCATCTTCCCCCCTTTCTCTCTCTCTCTCTCTCTCTCTCTCTCTCTCTCTCTCTCTCTCTCTCTCTCTCTCTCTCTCTCCTCCCTCCCTCCCTCCCTCCCCCCCTCCCTCCCCCCTGTTGTGCTTTCCTGTCACTTTAAAGGACAAGCCACGCCCACTCCCATTACCTCTGACCTGCCTGCCGCCATCTTGGTCCCTTCCTTTTCTGCTTCCTTGACGTGCGCACGCGCCTTCTCTCTCTTTCCTTTTATCTCTTCTCTCTCTCTGTCTCTCTCTCTCCCTCACTCCTTGTAATAAATATTTTATCTTTATGCCTATCTTTTGTGTTTATGTGTCTGTTACCCGCCACCGCCCGCGCAGCGCGTGCCCTCCCGCTGTTGGGAAACTGTAGCCGCTTGTTTTATGGCGGGCTCTGCCAGCCCGCTTGGGGATCATTTTTAAGAATAACAACACCCCTCCACATTGACTTCCCCAGGCCTGTGCATGCCCCCTCTAATAAATTCCTAAATGGATTTGTTGCGTGTTCTGTATTTCCTTTTCACAAGCTCCAGGTCATTTCAGGTAGATAGATAGGCAGCAAGCCATGACTGGGTAATCAGGACGGTGGACTTCCAAGATGGCCGACTTCTTCCTCCACTCCTAGCCTGAGACAAAAGCCTGGCATCTTTGTTTTTGGGTTTTGGTTTGTTTTCTAAAACAGTTTTCTGTGTATCCCTGGCTGTCCTGAAACTCTCTCTGTAGTACCAGGCTGGCCTCAAACTCAGAAATCTCCCTACCTCCGAGTGCTGGGATTAAGCCTGGCTTTTTTTTCCTTTTTTTTTTTTTTCCCTGTCATCATTTCTTAGGAACTTGTGAAGCCAGTAGTTCCCCTCTACCGAAAGGAGCCATTTCCTGTATCACTGGGCTCCAGGCTCCCTCAGTATGACAAGTGCCTATTAGACATTTCAGAGCCCATGGGAGCATCCAAGCTCTTCTCACCCCAGTCCCTAGGCTTCCCTCCCCACAGTCATTCCTTCTCCTTATAGCCCTGCTATGGCGGCTGTGCCCCATCTTTTGCCCTCGCTCTCTGTCACATCTCTCTCCCCCATCTTTCTTTTTCCCTCTCTCTCTGTCTCTCTGCTCTGCTCCTGTTTCTCTCACGGCCAGGTCTAGCCTCCTGGCCATGTTCTACTACTATTTTCTCTCTCAGCTTTGGACTCCTCCAGATGCCTCTGGCTGT